TGTAAAAATGCTGCTGCCGGAGTACTGACTGGAAGTATTACTGATATCATGTCTACCATATCCTCTTAAAATACTCTGTCCAATAATATCAGTCTCAGGAAGAAACGTGTTTTAACGCTGATTCAAAATAGCAGAGAAACATGCAACCTTGTACTCAGGAGCAGTGGCGGATTTAGGATTGTAGGAAGTTGTTGTTGGGGTTAGCGTGAACTGTGGACTCACCGGATCCTTGCAGCGGGGGTAATACGCAGGCTACTGTTCCCGCAGCTGCTGCCTCTCTGTTGGACTCCGGTACTGCACAATACACGATACGTTTCTCAGTGAAACATTCGGGGCTTTTCAGAAAAGATCCGGGGGCCCAAGTAGCCACCCCCTAGCCACTGCTCAGGAGCGGACAGTGACAGAGGATTACTCAAAAAGTACACAGTAAAAGTACTTCACAGTACTTGTTGGAGTAGTTTCACTAGTACTGAGTCCAACAGGATCAATCTCACGAAGAACTAATGGCAAAAATAATTTCCCCCTCATCAAACTTATCAGAAGTAACTTGATTTTGTTCTCAGGAGGGGACATTGACAGAGGATTACTCAAAAAGTACACACTAGAAGTACTTCATTGTATTGTGGTAGTAGGTGTAAGACTACTGAGTCCAGCAGTATCAATATCATTAAGAACTAATGGTAACATTGTGGTATCACTCATCAAAGATAGCAGAAAGCATACATTATGTACTATGGAGGGGACTCTGACAGAGGATTACTCACAAAGTACACAGTAAAAGTACTTCATTTTATTTCTGGTAGCAGTCAAACTAGTACCGAGTCCAACAGTATCAGTTTTATTAAGAACTTATGGTAACAAATATTTGTATCGATCATCAAATATAGCAGGACAAAAAATGAAGAGCAGCTGATTTGAAAAAACAAAGTGGAGAGACGGCTGAGTGACCGCAGAGCAGAATCGCTGTATAGTTTAAATCTCCTAACAATGTTGTCCATTTTAGACAGAGGCTTATTATATTTACAGCCCTTAATAACATTCATTTTCTGGGCTCAATGTGTGTCTTGGCCGTTTTCGCTGTGATCGCTAAATTCACCTTGTTTATAATATTATCACCGTTCCAAGCACACGAGTGCTTTTGTTTTGAAATCACTTCCGTGAGTTTCGCCCCGCCCCTCGCTCCAATGACCATAGAGAGGCGAAGTCCCTCCCTTTCCGGGGGAGCTCCATGGGACCTTATTTCGGAAAAGTTATGCATTGAAGTCAATGGGGAGAGAAAGATTATCTTTTGATCCCGTTTGAATTGTGCCACGAATTACACATATGATGTTTGTCAATTTAAAAGATAATTTTGCAAGTCAAAAAAATAAAATATGTCGTAAAACTGTGAAGTAACACTTTTTTTGTGTGAAACCGCTCAATGAACTACATCTCCCGTCTCGCACCACACACCCAGACGGCCGTCACGTTGGCACATTTCACTTCTTTCTTTCAGAATGAGGCGGAAAGTATTAAAAGAGGTGAAAATCACTCCAAGTCTGGGCATGTTGAGAGCTGTGCATACACACAAGGGGAGTTAGTCGGTTCCTAAGAGCCAGCATGCGGGACCGGGACTCTGGGATTTGTAGGCTTTCTAGTTGCGTACTTTTCATAGTCTTATATTTCAACAGTTTTACGACAAACTGTGACTTTTTTGACATGGAAATTATTATTTAAGATTGACAAACATCATATGTGTAATTTGTGGCACAATTCAAACGGGATCGAAAGATAATCTTTCTCTCTCCATTGACTTCAATACAAACTTTTTCCGAAATAAGGTCCCATGAGTCCCACCGGAAGGGGAGGGACTTCGCCTCTCTATTTGGCCCAATCCAAAAGCCCTACCCCCCCTCGGTTTGCGCGTTCGCACGGAGGGCCCGACTCCGCCACATTAAGTGCTGTTCCAAACCAACGAGTGTGGAGCGGGAGTGGGCTATTGTTGGAGTAGAATACTTCTGCTACGCGCCGTTCGTTGGATGAGGCTGGATCTCTATTAAATTAAGAAAGGAATTGAAAACACCGGAATCAAAGTTATAACAAATTATCTGAGTTTACTTCTAGTAGGAAACCAAACACATATACAAGTTATACAGAGTACTCCGGGTACTCCGGGCTTTTAGATTCGTGATGCGATGCGGCTAAAATGTATCGGGATCAAACCACCCATCGAACGAGAAGAGAGTGCCTTCTGTCAATGATGCGATGCGGACACAGTTTAACGGAGTCAACCACTCACCAAACCCAAAAGCAATTTTACACACACAAACATCAGTATTTCTATCTGTCTTTGGGGCGGAGATTTGTCGATTCTTCCTTCCCACTTTTCTCCCAAGCGAATTAGAGAACCCCTGGGGAGGAGCTGTTTAAGCTGACCACCTCCCCCAAGTGTCCTGACTGGCTGGATTCCCTTCTGGTCTGGTTCAATCAGAGTTCGGACCATAAAGTTCCATAAGGTCAAAAGTCAACCTCTATCTGTGATTAGAATCTTAACTTCATTTCTTTCCCATGAGTTCTCCACATATTTAACGATGTCTTTTAACGACTTAAAAACAGCACCTGGTCTTAGCGGTGATAAGGAGGATGTAATGTTGTCTTTAACGACCTCAATGACGACATCTGCTTTTAGGAGTGAACTCAAGGTTGGTGTGTGAAAACAGAATCTCTAGGTCAGTGAGTTTAAAAGTGAGAACAACATTCCTATATATATATGATTACCCATAAACCGTTGTGATTACATAAAACAGTTCAACTAATACATGTTCACTTCAATACAGTGTAGAATCATATCTTCTTACTTCACTATCAAGCCCTCAAACAGCGAGTCTGCATCGGTGCTGACTGGAGACCGGTCTCTACCTGACTGGTCTCAACCATGGATGTATAATAAGTAGGGCTGTCAAGTTAACGCGTTAACGCAAAAAAAGATTAACGCCACTAGTTATTTTAACGCGATTAACGCATGTGTATTTTTTGTCCTCGGCCGCCCCGTAGTTTCAGAGCACATCGAGTTTAAAATACCATCTACAAGCTGATGCTGACAGCCCCGCTCCTGCCGCCCGCTTGTGGCAGACCACACTTCCACGCTCACCGGCAGGCCCGGACTGGCATCTGGTGCTAGCTAGCTGCGCTAACGGATATAAGGAGCTGTTTCAATGAAAACAGAGGAGCGACATTTTGCCGACAACTGCGCCGAGCACTTGACTTTATGCAGGTAGCCAGACAGTGGGACATTGTACGAAAAGTCAGCACACTCAGCACGGATAGTGCGCGCAACATGATTGCAGCGTCCAGGCAGCTCCCGATCGAGCATATGTGTCTTGAGCTGCACATAGCTCCAACGATCCATCACAGTGTCTCCACACACACACACACACACACACACACACACACACACACACACACACACACACACACACACACACACACACACACACACACACACACACACACACACACACACACACACACACACACACACACACACACACACACACACACACACACACACACACACACACACACACACACCCACACACACCACACACACACACACACACACACACACACACACACACACACACACACACACACACACACACACACACACACACACACACACACACACACAGTATTATTGTATGAGAGAGGTTCCAGGTTGAATTGAGGCGAATATTTGTAATGTTCAGGTTGTTGTGTTTAATATTCATGAGAATATTTGTCATTGTTCATGTGATAATAAACAAACATATAAAGCATATTTGTCCACTCATATGTTGATAAGAGTATTAAAAACTTGAAAAATATCCCTCTAAGGTACATTTAGAACAGATACAAAATGTGCGATTAATTTGCGATTAATCGCGATTAAATATTTTAATCGACTGACAGCCCTAATAATAAGAGGTCTCAACGCTGTGTGTGTCCGTCAGGAAACACGCTGTTTACAAACAGTTCCAGCAAACATCCACTGATAAACTGCGATGTTAACAACCTCATGATAACCTCATGTGTTCATGCTTAGGATCATACCTGTGTTTAGTCTAGAAAAAGGTAAATGTGTGCATTTTATTATAAAGCCGTGTATATTTACAGACTGTTGCAAAAACTAAGAAGCTTATAAACATCAGGTTTAAAACTAAAAGAGCTTTACAAAAAAGTAACACAATTAAAGATGTTTGGAGTTTTATTTTAGTTATTAATTTGTATTTTTTGTCAAAGAGATGCTGATTTGAAACCGTTGTTACATACAGTTACGGCATTTCCTGTTTCTGCCGGAGAGAGGGGAGTTTGTCCCAAAGCTTGCCGCTGTATGTACTCCCTCCATCTGACAGGAGGGAGCCTCGTTGAGCTGCGTGTGAGACTCCACGGAGTTCACTCCGTCACGGAGGGGGAGTGTGTAGGGGTAGGGTGTAGGGCGTGGTTTGGGATTGGGCCTCAGACCATTTTTAGTAAGTTAAAAAGCAAAAAGCAAAAAGTCCTCTCAGACGCTCTTCCGTTTACTTGTTGAATAAAGAAAAACAAACGGACGGTAGATACACGGATTCAAACCCCTCTTATTTCTCTCAGCAGTTTTTCATGGACCGCTTTATTAGACTACAACACACAACGTATTTGTTTTATATCTCTCCAAAATACAAGTTAACAGGCCTACTAATATTTAACACTTCTGATTTATGAAGATTAATCACAGTTTATGATCGTGATTTACGCGATTACTTTTTGTTTTAAATCAACTAACACCACTAACAACAACACATAAGTCTGTATAGTTATGTAACCATGATGGCGCAGACACACGGACGTGAAAGGGGAAGTTTAGGCCTACAACATTTCAATATGCCACATCGGACTCTAAGACGTTGCTTTTTTATCGAGACTGTATTTTTCAGAGATAAAGTCAAACAGAGTAAACATGAATAGTTTAGGAAACCCCAGCAGAGCCTGGTTTTAACACTCACCCTGTTCTCTTTCTGCTGCTCTGTCAACGTGTGAAATGGAGTCTGTCTGTTACTCACTTACTTTCACTCTCGAGGTCCCTCCCTGTTTGCAGCTCCCTTCGATCAAGTTACACAGGAGAACATATTACAGGAAGACAGGAACAGACATGTAGCTACAAACAAGCACAACAAAGTACTTGAAGTAAAAGAACACATCAATACAGTGTGTTCAAATAACCCATAAATACATATCCTGCATGTACAACTATACTTAAGTACAAATATTGTTAGTATTATCAGTAAATGTTATTTCAAATGGTTAATAATGCATTATTGTATTCATGTACATTCACAGATATAAAACAGATGATATAGAATATTATATATTGTTACTAAAAGCGCTTGTCTTTGATATTATAATGATTACACCAGAAAGTCACTCTTTGTGAGATTTATTTGTTCACATTTTTCCCAGCCACAAGATGATTTCATTCATTGGAGGCCTCAAAGCTGGGTGAAGGTATTGATGCATACAAAACAAAACAAGTGTCGCAATATAGGGAAACAAACTGACAAAAACATATCAATCAGAATCAGAATCAGAATACATTTACATTGTTACAGCAGAAAAGAGCCAAAGACAGCTTAATGTTACCTAAAGTATGCATACAAAAAGTATTAAAGATTAAAAAAAAGTTACACATTTTACAAAATACACATCCTGTAACAGTTCGGAGGATTTAGCAGCCAGGTATATATTACACAGTTTTAGCGGCATATATATATTTATATATAATATATTTTATATATTGTTACTAATGATATATATATTATATATACGATCCTTAATCCATTGTGAGGTGATTCTTACTGTCCAGTTTCACTCGTTGAGTGCGATTTCACTGTGTATTACAATTAAATCACGGTCAAATATGTTCATGTTGTTGTCGTGGTAGCCCCCTTGCCGTCACTAGTTTAGCTTATTCAGCCCGGTTGTTGGCCCGGTAAGAACCTCAATTTTGGAGGGCCAGAAAAAAGGTGAAAAAGTAGCCCTGAGTGGAAAAGCAAAAAAAAGCGGGTCGTGCTGCAGTGGAAAAGCGCCAGAAGACACAGTTAAAACACACACATGAAGACACACACAACCAGCTTTTAATGAGTGGACAGAGACACTGACCACCTGAGCCATCACTGCTGCTTCTCAGAGGCTTTGAACCTGCAAAGAGAAGACATTTTCAAATCTGCTGCTACCTGAATGTTTTGATTTAAACAGAAAATAAACGAGTTACCTTCGCCCTTATTTCAACTTATGCACGCTCCTGTAAATAAAGACCATGTTAACACATAGCTATGATTATGGATAAAGTCAACATCACTGAGACAAATGTCAAATGTTCGATATTGGGCTATATAAATAAAATGTGATTAATTGATTGATTGATAAATAAGGGCTCCAACTAAAAACTTTTTTTTAATCAATAAATCTTTTGATAATTTGTTCAGTTCATCGTTGGGTCAGTAAAATGTCAGCAAAACAAAATGACTCAGTGGGTGTTTCTCAATCGCGAGTAAAGCTGCTTCCGAGCCACTATTTCAAGCATACTACGTCATCGAGTGCCGCCGAAGTACTGTTCCAATCTCCAGTATACTTTGAAATCTACTGAGCCCGGCGTACTCCGTTTGGAGAAATATCGAGTGTGCACATGAGTAGACTTCGCGGCCTTAAAATCCCCACAATGCTTGCGCACAGACCAATTTCCCCAAATCTGTGGCGGAAGATGTAAGGAGGCGGGGCCTCTCATAGGACGCACACCTGCACACTTGCTAGCCTGTTCCACTCTTTGTTTTCCGAATGGCAGGAAGTATTCTTGACTCGCTTCTGAAGCAAGATGCTCGGCAGATATGTGCTACCAAGCAAGCGTACTCGCGATTGAGAAACACCCAGTGTCTCAAAGGCGTAAGAAAAGCAGGAAATGTACATATTTGAGGCTGAAAGCAGCATTTTTGGAGAATGTCTTTCTTACTCTTACATGAAATATTAAGTTTCATTATCATAGGATCGTGCAAATAAAGATTGATATGAAGCAGAACTATGGATATTTTAAAAAGGTTACATCTTCAAAATCATTCCTATTCCTTATATAAAATGTAATAATCTTTCTGTTAATACTGGGCAATTCGGCTGTGGTTAGTAACGTTGGCTTGTAAGGTGTTTCTAGGTCTCCCTCACTAATTTGACTCAAAGGTTATTTTGGTCGTAGTCGATTAAGAATGAATCATTTTTGTATGCTTTGTCCTGCTGAATGACTTTAATCTAAGACACTTCTTAGCACATCTCTATTAAAAACAAGATTTGGTGCTTTTGCATTTGATATTCCTCGAGATAATCAGATCTGTCAAATCAATTAGTCAACAATTATAAGTATTTTTAGTTGAGAAAAGCCTTACTAATTTCAATCATTTGTCCCTTGCCAGCCTCTGCAATTAACATGTAAACAGCAAGAAATGCTAAAGCCCCTGTCACACTGTCCTGAAATTGACACCCGATGGACACACGATAAAGGAAATGTTCAAATTCGGCTCTGATCGTAACAACATCGGGCCATTCGTGAGGGCATCTTAAGCCATCGTATGACCGCCGGTGGAGTTTCTCAGGCTCCGGCAGCAACTTCGTAAGGCACTCGTGAGGGCATCTTGTCAAATCGTGTCATCTTCGTGTTATCATCGGTGCCATCGGGCATTCGCCCTCACTCTGATCGGGGCGAATGCCCGATGGTATCGATGATAACAAGATGCCCTCACGATGGCCTTACGAAGGGCAAAATTGACACACGAATTCAACACGAAAATGAACCTTCGCAAGGTCCTTCGGCAATTTGTAGGCATGCCAAATATTTTCCCACCGCTCACGAAGTTGCTGCCGGAGCCTGAGAAACTCCACCGGCGGTCATACGATGGCTTAAGATGCCCTCACGAATGGCCCGATGTTGTTACGATCAGAGCCGAATTTGAACATTTCCTTTGTCGTGTGTCCATCGGGTTGTTTTATTGCACAACAAAATCATGTAAACATATTATGTAAATAACCCAATTTGTGTTCTGTGAAACTGAAAAGGATATAATATATTATTTTGAAGGCGAGTTGACAGGAAGTTGTTGTTGCTATGGAAACAACATTATGGAGAAAACGTCATATTTTCAACATATAAAGACGGAGAAAGTAAAGAACAAAGTCTGAAGATATCAGTACAGTATCATAGTACTGTAACATAAGTGTTTGTGTTACTTTCGTTGCAGTTGTATGTCTTAAATGTAATGTAAATGTTGCCTTTGTGTGTGGTTCGGGGCCATCTTTGTGCGAAATTCACAATTCCATATTCGTGTGTCCATCGGGTGTCAATTTCGGGACAGTGTGACAGGGGCTTAAAGAACAAAAAAGGCAAGAAAAAGTTTCCTACCCCATTCCTCCTCAACATGCATGCCTGACTCAACATGCTTCACTTCACAGGTGTAGGTGGACATGTCAGTCCTCAGAATCTCCACGCAGTCTTTTCTCTGGTAGGTCTCCGTTTGGTCGAGTGCCCGTTGTAGACACTCCGTCCTCGTTGGTCAGAATACGGCCGTTCCATTTGATCTGCAGCACGATGTCTTTCAGGTAGAAACCGGTGGCCATGCACAACAGGATGATGTTGTTCTCCGACCTGGCATTCTTTGAAAACACGTACACCGTTGGAGGAGCTGGAAAAATAAACCATAATATCAGATCATATTTGCAGGCTTTTCATTTTTAACCAGTCCAAATAATTATTTAAGTTAACAGTTTTATTTCCAATAGCAGGACTATTGTATTTAGTTCTAGGTTGGAAAATGGAATCGTGGAAAAATGTTTGGTATTCTTAATTTGTTGATTTGATTTGCAAAAACTTAGTTTTTTACCGCCAGTCAAATGATGGCGAATGTTTTGACCTAAATAGGGGTTTATAATATAGATGGTTTGCTTTCATCTGTAATGATGGCAATTTGATGATAGTGTAGTGCCAGCCAAATGTTGCTTAACCTGTTAACCTGTTAAGCCCCGAGCCTGTTTTCCAGGTCTCAGGCTCGAAAATGACATTCTGGGATTAGTCAACCCTCAGTTGAATTTGTGGAAACCCCATTGTTTTTAAGGCTAGTCAGTTTAAAAATGTGCATAGAGATCCTTACGTTACAAAAGCTATTTCTAATATCTAGAACAAAAATTAAAATAATTTGAGGTCATACATACTGGTGTCCATTTCTTTTCCAAACTCCACAAATATGCTCAACCAGTTCATGCACTCAGTCTCCAGGTAGCCTTTGATGTATTCTGTCAGAATCTGGACGCTATCCCACTTCCTCTTAGTCGGCTGTGCCACGACGGTTGAGGCCACCCAGGTGGAGTGGGAGTCGTCGAAGGACAGGAAGTCGGTCCCGTCGTAGCTGTACATGTCCTTCCCACGGTGGTACTGAAGCTTACCCTCAGCCTGCATTTCGCCCTCACAGCCGACCATCCACTGCAGAATGTGGACGTCTGTAACGAGAGCGAGGGGCGGGACAGTGAGACAAGAGCCTAATAACAAGAATATGGTTTAATATATAGACATAAGTCTGCCTACTACAAAACTATATTTCCTTTACTTTTAAGCATTTACCAAGATCAAAAAGTCTGCCAGTAAACTATTGTAATGTGATTTTCATGCTCCTGCCTTCAATATGAGACAATGTCATACAGTATGGCAATCTATGTCAACTTACAATGGAATAATTTAAAACTGAACTGTGCTCTGAAAAAAATATGTTCTTTATCATTAAAATACACCTCCTGTTGTTGGAGGACAAGTTGCTAGTCAAAGCAGCGTGTCACTAAAATAAGAACAACTGGTCCACCTTAAATAGGCAACCCAGCTTAAGTTAGCATGCTGTTGTTGCTAAGCCTTCACTAAAGCAGCAAGAGACAAGCCAGACACTGGCAATCACTTTGATACAAAAAAAAGGTTTAACCTGTTAAGCCCTGAGCCTGTTTTTCAGGTCTCAGGCTCGAAAATGACATTCCCAGAACAAATGACCATATCTTCACTTCGGTAAAAATG